ACGGAAGCTATTTATATAGAAGCGTTTAAGAGTAAGTTACTAAGATATAAATGATGCTACGGTAGAAATCTAAGAGAAAATATATAATTATTATCTAGAAAGACAAAAATAATGAAACGGAAAGCTCATAAACTGACAAAGAAAAGACGAAAGGCATTAAAACACTTAAGAAAACGTAAACAAATGATTTCGCGCCAAAATTGTTGTCTGGGGGGTACGCTCTGGGTTCGGCCAATCAGAGGATAATAAAAAAAGCTCAGCAACCCAAAAGAAGAGGTGATTGGCTCCTGGTTTATCGGACTGTGTTTTCACTGGAGGATCTCGAGGCTGGGTGGAGTGACGTGAGTGTCAATACAGGAAGGTTTTATTACCCTCACTTGTAAAGACTGGGGTAAGGTAATAGATTTGTAATGCTATTATTATTATGTCACTTGGTTTATGCTCGCTCGTATCCTGTCATCTAAGACTTCAATATTCAATTAGTGTTATTTTCATTATTGTTATTATTAGGTTTATGCTCGTATCCCACTTTTATTATTATTATTATTATTATTATTATTATTATTATTATTATTATTAGGCAGTAATTGGCACTACGGACTTCAAGACCCAGTACGTAGGGGGAAAGGTGAATGAGTGTGTTAGCGAAATCCATGCTCTATCGGAGATTGCTAACACAGAGCCACATGCGGCCTTTGCAGCATTCACACATGGAGTCAAGCATCGTTGGAACTACCTGATGTGTACCATCCCTGAGATCCGACCCCTCCTCCACCCTTTGGAAGAAGCAATCAGTGTCAAGTTCATTCCCAAACTAGTGAAACACCACGACTTAACCCTAGTAGAAAGAACACTTCTTGCACTTCCACCAAGACTGGGAGGGATGGGACTAACTAATCCAGAGGAGATTGCTGACTCTGAACATCAAAATTCACTTAAGCTCACGGCAGCCCTCACTGACCACATAATAGCCCAGAATGCAACAGGGGAAGTGGACACCAGCGAAGTTAATAAGATCCGTAGGTCCATTACAACAGATCAGCAGCACTGCCAAAATGACATGTTGCAGCAACTATTGCTGCATGTTCCAGAAAATGTGACAAAAAAAGTAGCTATAGCGCAGGAGGTGGGCGCCTCGAACTGGCTAACTACGTTACCGATAAGGGCAAATGGTTTCAGCCTTAACAAACAAGAATTTACAGATGCCATTGCTCTAAGGTACGGTTGGCCAGTAGATGGTTTGCCCTCCCAATGCGTGTGTGGCTATTCCTATGATGGCGATCACGCCATGGTTTGCAAGAAGGGGGGCTTCATATGCATGAGGCATGACGAGGTAAGGGATCTCACAGCAAATATGTTGAAGGAAATCTGCCGGGACGTCATGGTAGAACCGACCCTCCTTCCACTGGATGGCGAGATCTTCCAACACAGGACTTCAAACACATCTAACGAAGCCCGTGTGGACGTCAGTGCTCGAGGATTCTGGACGCGGGGACAGCGAGCTTTCTTCGACATCAGGATTTTTGATCCCATGGCCGTTTGTCACCGTAACCTAGCTCTCGATGCTGCGCATAGGAGGAACGAGAACGACAAGAGAAGGGCATATGGGGAGAGAATTCAAAATGTTGATCAAGGCAGCTTCACTCCTCTAGTGTTCACAACCTCTGGTGGGATGGGCCCAAGTGCAAGATGTTTCTACGCCAGACTCGCGGAGCTGATCTCCGAACAGAAGCAGCAGCCCAGAAGTTATGTCACAGCCTGGATGAGATGTCGACTGTCCTTCTCTCTCCTTCGGTCGGCGTTGCTCTGCCTCAGGGGAACGAGAGCTTCTGCCCCTACTCCGACAACTGCTGCAGATATCGACTATGAGGCTACAGTCACTGAATGCCGCATGGATCTGCGGCTCAACTAATTTAACACAGATAGGATAGTTTCTTATGTATTAGGATATTTAATATTAAGGTAAATAAATGGTGGCGAAGGTGTGGCTATTGGGGGAGGCTGGAGGCCGTTGAAAAAAAAAAAAAAAAATAGTAGTAGTAGTAGTAGTAGTAGTATGTTTACTCTCGTATCCTACTGTATTATTATTTTTAGCCTAAGTCAATGTCAGCTCAAAATATTCGTGTGACTTTCATTTTGATTTTCACATTTTAATTTATGAATCTAATAATATATAATTATTAAATTTTATTCAAAAAGCTTCTCTCACTGTTTATTATATACTGTACATAAAAGACGATGACAGCAACATAAATTTGTTGACGACACAACGATAGAGCTTATAATTAAATCTGACGAGGACTTTAAATTTAATGAAAAACGAAAAAAAATTAGCATACTGAAAAAATGGCAGATACCATTTAATTTTAAAAAATGTACAGTATAATAGTTGTAAGGTTAGATAATGGGAACGGGGATCATGCTGGGGACGATATAAATCAAGTGTATAAATGGGAGTCAGGGTTAAATAAAGGTGATATAACAAAGGTACTCAAATTCTCAAACCTGGAACAAATTATGCAATGATGATTCTAGACAAATTTTGATTTAAGCGTGGAAATGGTATGGAAATATAGTGAACGAGTGAAATAAGATACCAAACATTATCTAATATTAACTGGAATACTCTGAGAAGCTCCAAATATATGACGGACAGATATACGAGCGATAGGGGTTGGGTGTATTTTTCTACATTCTTATGCTCTTTAAAATTTCATGTAAAATTCGTTTACATTTTTATTTAAATTATTCAAATTGACTTATTCCCACATTTCCAACCTTTTAAAATTATATGAAATTCTAACAAGTAAAAAATACATGAAAATAAATTAAAAATAACTAATTTATTCAAAACAATTTACTGCCATACGTAATTTTTTTTTTTTTATTAAATTCCATTTTCAAATTTCAGTCTCGGGCCAAAATATTATTAGGTGGAGTTGGAGGAGCCGCCGGGAACACAAAACACCTGATAATACACAATAATATACATTCAAAATACATAAAACATTTTTAAAGTTTAGTATGTGAAGACAAACGAGGGTACAGCGGCTCAGAAGGGAAGCTTAAGTTGACTGTTAGTTGAAAGTGGACTATCAATTTGCCTTTGTAGTATTATTTATGAATTATTTATGAAGAAAACTCGTTCGATTTGCTGTAGACAAACCGCCCCTCCCTCACCCCCAACCCATCCACCTAAGAAATAAAACAGAGGCCCTAAACGTCAGGTTCCATCGCCTAGGGAAGAAGGTTTGGGACAAGCTCCTGGACGACCCTCACAGCCCAGACCACCTACGCGGGGAAGACATCAACGGAGGGCGCATTGATTTTGCCGCTTACAGCTGCTACTTTATTGTGCACCCCACACTCATCCTGTGAGCGGTAGCGCAAAAGGATTACAGAGTAGAGTTTACAACGGGTCATAATAATTAACCCCCGTTGTCAGGATATTGTGGCACTGAATGTTACACAGTATTTCATTTACATTATTTGTTTAGTTCAATACATGAAGGGTAACTTATTCACAACTGCGTGAGTACAGGCGTGTGAGGCAGTATGTCTGGCGACCCCACGCCTGGTGGCCACGGAGTCTGCCCGCACTACAACCCAACCCACGACCCATTATGTCCGCCACAGTGGTCCACCTTAGATTAAAACTTAGATGATATAAGTTCACATTTAACAAGTCACAATCAAGTGAGTCCATAACGTAACACAGTATAAGATGTTAATAAACTTGTAATTGTAAAATAAATCTAGTCATTGTCTACTAAAGTAACCATTGTGCAACCTCATCCTAAATCCTAGGTTAGCTTAGTTAGTCAACAAACTCTGTAATATGTAAAACAAGGGGTGTCGTCCCCCTCTGTTTAACTCATTAAACTTCTTTTCCAACCTTTCCCCCCACGACTATATGTTGTGACTTCTCTATCCCTCATGTCTGGCTGTGCCTTGAGCCCCAGCATGCCTTCAATCCTTTCCCCACCTTAACCTAAGAAAGAAAAAAAAAAAGCCTGCGAGAATTAAGGAGGGAGGGGAGGGAGGTGATTTACTCCGTGGGTGCTCCGTTTGTTTGTTTGTTTATTTATTTATGTACCAATGTTTTGCCGTGGCTCTATCTTAACCTGTAAGACAATTTTTGACTCAAGATGAAATATGGACACGATATTAACTAAGTGATGAGGCTTAACTTCTTTTCCATTCTTTTTCTTACTATTATTATTGTTATATCGTCGTCATCAAGGAGGCAAGGTTCTCACTCTCCAACTACGGTTACACACACACACACACACACACTTGAGTGCTTCCATCTGCTGCAGACAAGTGCATTATATCTATCAAGAGCATTAAAAAATCACACCGAAGTTATATCTTGACTACATTAAATTAATTCACTATAACACACAAGATTGTCACTCGATTACTTTATAATAAGCAAGCGAAGATTATTTGCACTGGGAGAGAAAGGGAGGGAGGAGCGTGGACAACTGTCAGCTGATGGCTTGTTTATTTACATAATTTTGGCGGGAATGACGAGTATCAGCTGGTGTGTCTGATGTGACGTCATGATAAAATACTTGGGTAACTGAAAAATTATATGGGCACTCTAGCTTATTTCACCTGATGATTAAAAAAACCTAACCTAATGTTAAAGAATACAGTACGGTATATGCATGTATATAACACCCTCACCTGTCTGCCTCACACATCACCATCACACACCATCTGTCTTTTGCTCTGTGCCACACCTCTTATAATATTGTGTAAGTTATATAGTTATTTCTTATCACAGGTTTTATCATGTTTATATCTTATTAATGGTATATAGATTTCCACTCCTATCCCCTTCCTCCGTCACACTGCCAAACCGCCTGTCACCATCCTCCTCCCCTTCCGTCACACCACCTCTCCTCCCCTTCCGTCACACCACCTCTCCTCCCCTTCCGTCACACCACCTCTCCCCCCTTCCTCCGTCACACCACCTCTCCCCCCTCCCTCACCTGGTCTCAGTTGCAGCAGGGAGAGGTGTAAAGGGGCCCTGTCCACCACAAAGCTACAGGAGAGAGAAAGGTACAATAAGTAATACAATAATCATGTAAACAGACAAGTGATAAATGATAAATAAGAGATAATTCAGGAAAATAAAAACTTGGCAAAAAATAAATGAAATAATAGTAGTGATGATGATGATGATAATGTTAAATAATGCATCCACTATACTATCATCCACTACACTATCATCCACTACACTATCATCCACTACACTATCGTCTACACTACATCCACTATACTATCATCCACTACACTATCATCCACTATACTATCATCCACTACACTATCATCCACTACACTATCATCCACTACACTATCATCCACTACACTATCGTCTACACTACATCCACTATACTATCATCCACTATACTATCATCCACTACACTATCATCCACTACACTATCGTCTACGCTACATCCATTACACTATCATCCACTACACTATCGTCTACACTACATCCATTACACTATCATCCACTACACTATCGTCTACACTACATCCACTACACATCATCCACTACACTATCGTCTACACTACATCCATTACACTATCATCCACTACACTATCGTCTACACTACATCCACTACACTATCATCCACTACACTATCGTCTACACTACATCCATTACACTATCATCCACTACACTATCGTCTACACTACATCCATTACACTATCATCCACTACACTATCGTCTACACTACATCCATTACACTATCATCCACTACACTATCGTCTACACTACATCCATTACACTATCATCCACTACACTATCATCCACTACACTATCGTCTACACTACGTCCATTACACTATCATCCACTACACTATCGTCTACACTACATCCATTACACTATCATCCACTACACTATCGTCTACACTACATTCATTACACTATCATCCACTACACTATCGTCTACACTACATCCATTACACTATCATCCACTACACTATCGTCTACACTACGTCCATTACACTATCATCCACTACACTATCGTCTACACTACATCCATTACACTAACATCCACTACACTATCGTCTACACTACATCCATTACACTATCATCCACTACACTATCGTCTACACTACACCCATTACATTATCATCCACTACACTATCGTCTACACTACATCCATTACACTATCATCCACTACACTATCGTCTACACTACGTCCATTACACTATTATCCACTACACTATCGTCTACACTACATCCATTACACTATCATCCACTAAACTATCGTCTACACTACGTCCATTACACTATCATCCACTACACTATCGTCTACACTACATCCATTACACTATCGTCTACACTACATCCATTACACTATCATCCACTACACTATCGTCTACACTACATACATTACACTATCATCCACTACACTATCGACACTATCATCCACTACACTATCATCCACTACACTATCATCCACTATACTATCATTCACTACACTATCATCCACTACACTAATCCACTACACTATCATCCACTACACTATCATCCACTACACTATCATCCACTACACTATCATCCACTACACTATCATCCACTACACTATATCGTCTACACTACACTATCATCCATTACACTACTTATCCACTACACTATCATCCACCACTACACTATCGTCTACACTACACTATACATCCACTATACATCCACTACTATATCATCCACTACACTATCATCCACTACACTATCATCCACTACACTATCGTCTACTACACTATCATCCACTATATCATCATCCACTACACTATCATACACTATCATCCACTACACTATCGTCTACACTACATATCATCATCCACTACACTATCATCCACTACACTATATCATCCACTACATTATCATCACACTACACTATCCACTACACTATACACTATCATTGTCACGTCACTACACTATCATCCACTACACTACATCCACTACATCCACTACACTATACCCATTACATATCATCTACACTACATCCACACTACATCCGTTTACACTATCATCTACACTACATCCACTACACTATCATTTACACTATCATCTACACTACATACTACACTATTACACTATCATCTACACTATACCCATTACACTATCATCTACACTATACCCATTACACTATCATCTACACTATACCCATTACACTATCATCTACACAATACCCATTACACTATCATCTACACTACACCCATTACACTATCATCCACTATACTAAAGTTTACACTCTCATCTACACTACATCCACTACACTATACCCATTACACTATCATCGTCACTGTACCCATTACACTATCATCTACACTACATCCACTACACTATACCCATTACACTCTCATCTACACTACATACACTACACTATACCCATTACACTATCATCTACACTATACCCATTACACTCTCATCTACACTACATCCACTACACTATACCCATTACACTATCATCTACACTACATCCACTAATTATATCCATTAAGGACCATCATCTACACTACATCCACTACACTATACCCATTACACTATCATCTACACTACATCCACGCTATACCCATTACACTATCATCTACACTACATCCACTACACTATACCCATTACACTATTATATACACTATACCCATTACACTATCATCTACACTATACCCATTACACTATCATCTACACTACATACACTATCATCTACACTACATCCACTACACTATACCCATTACACTATTATCTACACTACATCCACTACACTATACTCATTACACTATCATCTACACTATACCCATTACACTATCATCTACACTACATCCACTACACTATCATCCACTACACTATACCCATTACACTATTATCTACACCATACCCATTACACAATCATCTACACTATACCCATTACACTATCATCTACACTACATCCACTACACTATACCCATTACACTATCATCTATACTATACCCATTACACTATCATCTACACTACCCATTACACTATCGTCTACACTACATCCACTACACTATACCCATTACACTATCATCTACACTGTACCCATTACACTATCATCTACTCTACATCCACTACACTATCGTTTACACTATCATCTACACTACATCCACTACACTATACCCATTACACTATCATCTACACTATACCCATTACACTATCTTCTACACTACATCCACTACACTATACCCATTACACTATCATCTACACTATACCCATTACACTATCATCTACACTATCATCTACACTATACCCATTACACTATACCCATTACACTATTATCTACACTATACCCATTACACTATCATCTACACTACATCCACTACACTATACCCATTACACTATCATCTACACTATACCCATTACACTATCATCTACACTATACCCATTACACTATCATCTACACTATACCCATTACACTATTATTTACACTATACCCATTACACTATCATCTACACAATACCCATTACACTATCATCTACACTATACCCATTACACTATCATCCACTATACTAAAGTTTACACTCTCATCTACACTACATCCACTACACTATACCCATTACACTATCATCGTCACTGTACCCATTACACTATCATCTACACTACATCCACTACACTATACCCATTACACTCTCATCTACACTACATACACTACACTATACCCATTACACTATCATCTACACTATACCCATTACACTCTCATCTACACTACATCCACTACACTATACCCATTACACTATCATCTACACTGTACCCATTACACTATCATCTACTCTACATCCACTACACTATCGTTTACACTATCTACACTACATCCACTACACTATACCCATTACACTATCATCTACACTATACCCATTACACTATCATCTACACTACATCCACTACACTATACCCATTACACTATCATCTACACTACATCCACCACACTATACCCATTACACTATCATCTACACTACATCCACTACACTATCATCCACTACACTATACCCATTACACTATTATCTACACTATACCCGTTGCACTATCATCTACACTATACCCATTGCACTATCATCTACACCATCACACTGCACACTGTACCCCATTGCTATCATCTACACTATGCCATTACCACTTTATCATCTACACTGTTGCATTTCACTGCTCATCTACACTACATCCTGCACCTATACCCATTACACTCTCATCTACTGTCACTACACATACCCATTACACTATCATCTACACTATCACTACACTATACCCGTTACCTCCTCATCTGCACCATCCACTACGCTATACCCGTTGCTATCATCTACACCATCACTGCACTATCGTTTACTATCATCTGCACACCATCCACTACACTATGCCCATTACTATCATCTACCCACTACATCCACTACACTATCGTTTACACTATCATCTACACTACATCCACTACACTATACCCATTACACTCTCATCTACACTACATCCACTACACTATACTCATTACACTATCATCTACACTACATCCACGACACTATCGTTTACACTATCATCTACACTACATCCACTACACTATACCCATTACACTATCATCTACACTACATCCACTACACTATCGTTTACACTATCATCTACACTACATCCACTACACTATACCCATTACACTATCATCTACACTACATCCACTACACTATATCCATTACACTATCATCTACACTACATCCACTACACTACATCCATTACTCTATCATCTATACTACATCCACTACACTATCATCTACACCACACTAAAAGGTGAATTAAATATATTTTGAAGAATTCTATCCTGACGAGTATTTTTAGGCCGTGATCCATATCTCAGTAAGTATACACAGTCTGTACCACTCACATGATACAGACAAATGGGTCTAACATAGAAAATCCTTGTTGTGTGTTACTCAGTCGTTAGTATACTATGGCTGGGTATGGAGGGAGTGAACTAATAACTACTAAAGGATATAGTTAAATTGTAAAATGATATAGTAAAACTGGACGAGGAAAGGCAAAACTTC